ACTTAGACACCTCTGCAGAGCTCCCCAGTTTGCCCGTAACCTGTCACTTAAGTGATATCGTAGCTATTTATGTAGTCCTAGATATAATATTTAGTATAAGAAAATAAAGTTAACTCTGTGAAAGCTTACTTAATTGCATCTCTACTGCCTATTACACTATAATTTATAATCCTAGGTTAATATAGCTTTATTTAGACTAAATAGATGTTTCAGGATCAGGAAGATACCAGAGGTACCAGATAGAAGTAAGTAGCGTCAACAAATGAGGAAGACAATCTGGGTTCGCCATAGCCAAAAAAAAAAAAAAAAAAAAAAGGTAATTAGTAACCTATTTAGATTGGCACAGACTTCAGTGATCATCTCTAAATACCTTACATACATCAAGATATTTGATACCACGTGATAAAAATGGCATATGATTCTCTTACCACCTTAAATTCTGCACCTGCAGAATTCCAGACTTTTCTTGAAATATAATTGCTGAAGTTAGGGCAATCTTACCTAATTTACTTGATCGGTAATTTTCATGTAAGCATTTCTTTGAAATGATTTATCTACCTTTTTATATATATTTTACTTGATTTTCATTCTGCAATCCCATAATTAACATTTGCAAATGTTTCCTATCATTGTAGCATATGGATTTGATGGATTTGAATGTTATTTCTGTATTGCGTTTTAATTTACTCAATATATCCTATGATTAAAGTGAAATTTTGTTCGTCTTGCCATGAAAATTCAGTGTCTTTCGAGTGGATTTCTTAACTTTAACCAATTCTTAGATAAAGTCTGGTGGTCAAGGTCATGTTCTTTTGTTCATGGCTGACGTTTTTACTGGCCCAATCTGTCACTCAGTCCTGTAATTTTGAGACACTTTCCTCCTCCTTGCACTGTATTGACTGTTTCCATATTTCTTACTCCTAGGCCATACAAACTGGAACTGTGGATCATCTCCTCACACCTGCTGCTTTCATAAATGGCATGTGTAAATAATGTTAGCTGTAGTTAAACAGTTTCTAGAATTTGAATTAGGTAGTTGGATCTATAAATCAACAAATACATTTGTCTGACTTCTTCGGTTTTCAGCTGTAAGTTTTTGGGCAGGTTAATATTCACAGTCTTATTGATACCAGGGTCAAATTCTATTCACAGCTTTGAGCATGAGGGCAGTTGCCCACAAAGTTGCATAACGTACTTTGCAATCAATAAGATTTGCCTTTCAAATTGATCTCTTGAAGAGGAAGCAGAACTTCTCCATATTTGAAAGCAAGCAGATGAGTCAATAAGCAAAAACAACTAGCACTTCTTCAAGGAGTGCTTTTACACACGTTTATGGCTTTGCCAAAGATTATTTGGTAGTGAGCTCCGTCAGTGGCAGCAGCTGCCCAACAGTATTTTGGTGCCTTTTATTGTTGCTGACAGAGTTGGGAAGGACGTATGTGTGGTTCCTGGGTGTTCTGCGATTACGTAGTTCTGAAGCACCCAGGACACCCGTGACTTCTGCTAGTTACCAGCAGTACCAAATGATTTAGGAAGCAGTTCCCCTTCCAGAACTACTGGAATTTGGGAAAGAGAAGCCTTGACGGGTCCTGACTCTTGAACTGTAATGAGAAAGGGTAATCTGATGAGTAGTTACTTGGCAAAAACCAGTGAGATTCCCAACAAGGTCTTATTCCAAATGAAATTGTTGAGAATTTATCCATAACACTTAAGTTACCTTTATGTGTTTTGCAAAGTTCTATGTGGTTTCTAACCCACACTTAACTTTTAAGGCCTAACTAAAAATGAAATGCTTATAGCTGAAGGCCTTGAATGACAAGTTTGTTTGGAACTGAACTTGCCAAGCTTCACTGTTGTGCCTCTGAACAAACTCAGTAGTTCTAAAAGGCATTTTGACTGTTATTGTGATAAGCCAATGATGTCAGCTTTTTCAGCATTAACCTTACAGTCTTAAAATACGGTGGATCTGATGCTGCAGCAAGGGAGAGAACTACTCAGAAGGGGAAAATTGGCAGTGTCAACACACAGGGGTCTGCTGGATAGTGCTGGATAGTTTCTGGATAGTAAAAGAAACTGCAGTGGCCAGAAAAAAAATCCACCTGACTTTTTGAATAGAGATGCTATAGAGAGGAAATCAGAGGAAATTTTTATTTTATTAGAGCACTCTTAAAGATTTGGAGACAGCTGTAATGGTTACAGGTAGATAGCAACAGGAGGGGGAGCTCTCACAGCATTACCCAAAGAGTTCTAGACTGTAAAGCAAGTGTAAAGGAAGGGCACCTAGGAAGGGCACCTCACTGCTGCTGCTCAATTGCTGGCTGCCCTCCCTATAGGAAAGACCAATGGAAAATGTGGGAGAATGTGCATGCTTGTAAAAAGAAAGGTGATTCATATCCCCTTTTCAGCTATTCTGCCTTCGCTACCTTTTTTTTTTTTTTTTTTTGGCCAGGCAGCGTGCAGTTGTGTGAAGCTGTGTTGCAGCTCTGCTGTGGCAAACAGAGTTCCTTTTCTCCCATCCTTGCAGTCAACTTCAAATACTAATTCCTAAGGTACTGTGGGTGTTCCCTGAGAGGTCAGCCCTAGAGATGAGAAAGAGCAGGGAAAATATGTGGGATATTACTATGTGTGTTTAGAGGAAAAACAGGTGCAGGTCAGAAGGAAAAATATAATACATTTCTGATGCAGGCAGGACAAACAAAATTGAAAGATTTATAAAGCTGGATTAATTGATCTGCATTTTAAAGGGTTCTTTGTAACTGGGAATATGTCAAAAGTAGGAAATAGAGGTACATGGCAGGGAACAAGGAGGCTCAAGGTTTAGCAAGCTGGAGAACTCTCTAAAATGTAAGCCGCCTTCCTTCTGTAACCATTTATATTCAAATGTCAATCTTTATTTTTTTGAGTAATGCAATTCTTCCAATTTATGGATGTGGAGCAGAGACAGTGTGTAGAGGGGGTTGTTTTCACATAGACAGATGCAAACCAAGTTGTGGGATGTTGTGTCTGAGAAGCTGCAGAGTGGTGTGAGCTCCAGGCTGTGGCCAGGGCGTGTGCCCTGCTCCTGAGATGCCGCTTTGGGCAAGGTGCCAAAAAAGATGGCTTCATATCTTCCAAGCTAAAACTTGCTTGAATTTGGATGAGGGTAGGGATCTTGTATCTGTCTGCACCCAACTGTGTAGGGGTGTCTCAAGGTGCTTGTTTAGTGTTCATGGAATGAGAGTACGCTCTGTTTTCCTGAAACCTACATAGGTGCTGGATCAACTCATTAGCATCTGTCATTTTTCTTTGAACACGCATAGTGTTGGCCTTTTTGTGCATTATTGATAATCTGGCTTCATCTGTGGTGTTATCTAGGATAATATCAAAATAATTACACGTAAGTGCTTTGGGATTTGCTTGGCTTTTTGTTTTCTTTGAATAGGAAAGATGGAGGCCCTTTTCTATTTAAAATAATAATCCGAGGTAAAAGAATGGTTTTGTTATGAGCTTTCAAACCATTGATGAAAATTTTTTCAAGGAACTTTCAGGAAAAGCAACCTGATGTGAGGCACTATTTCTCATGTTCTGTTTGACATGATTTAAAACTTAACAACATACACTCTTAAAGCAAAGGTATCTCTGCACCGTGATACAGCTGACTGTCTTTCCTTCTTAAATTCATTATATAAAAACAATAAATCTTAATATAATGAATGTATATATATATAAAATAATAAAAGTCTTAAGGCTTTATTCATCAGTTTTTATCCAATTTTTGTCATTTAAATAGGTAATCAGGGAATGATAGGTGATTATGGATACAGAGCATAGCATGCAGGCTAATTTCTAGAATGTCCAGAGGGAATATTAGATCCTGTTGTTTTGCTATAGGATGATTACTAAAATTCTTCTGTAGCATAGGACATATGGTCTAAGAAGTGAGAAGTCTGAGAGGTGTCTGGCAGGGAAAGATAACATGGATTTAATTCTAGCATTGCCGTTGTTCTTGGCTACTTTCCGGTTGGCCAGCAAGATCTTAAAAGGAAAAAGAAGCCAAACAAAAACAATCACCAAACCCATGGTCATGTCTATATTACTTTGAACACCTTAAATACTAGCTCAGAATAATGCTTAAAGTGTTCAGACTAGCTCAGAGTCTGTTGCAGTCACCTGATAAAATGAACTAACTGCATAGGATGAAAACTCCCTATCCCACCCGGCCAGCTGAGTTTAGTTCAGGATGGTCTTTAAAACTCCCATGTTATTGAAAAGTGACAAGCGAATAAAAAGCAAGTAGTGGCTACAAAAGGAAAAAATAGTTTTGTGTATGTATGATATTTTTCTTCTAGATTGCTAAGGTGAATACTTTAGCATTCTTGCATTATTCATCTCTGCAGTTCAGAAGTGAAATATTATCATGAGTACAAATTTTATTTTATTTTAGGTAGGGGTCACTGCAGGATTGGTTTGAGATTTTTAAAGTCCCCGGAAGAAGGTCCTTTGAATAGCTGCACACCTGGTTTATCTTTGTTAGCTGTACAGACCCTCAATTACTAAGTTTGTAAGCTTATTAAATCCCCAGTTTTCACCACAGATTTCACAATATTTTGCAGAATGTACAGACTACATTAATAGCAAAACAACTTCAATATATGAATGGTATCCTGGTGATATATTTGTCTTGTGGTATATTTGTATTGTTGCAGTTTTACCTGTTTTAATCATACTTACATAAACCTTTAATATCAACTGACAGGACAACAGGCCTGTCAGGATTTCATCTTTAAAGAAAACCTTATTCTTTTTCATTTTTTTCTTTTACTCAATCCAGGCTGATGCCAAGTTCATAATTTAAGTGGGATGTTAAGCCAGGAGGCTCATATGCAGAATGGTCTTCATTATACTGGTGTTGGGGGAGGGCAGAGCCCCTGGGGTGCTTTGGGCCTTAAAAACATTTTTCATGCTAGGAAGTTGGTTTGCACTGATCTAGAAGTAAAACCATTGTTCTTGGTTCCATGCAGACGGTACTAGACAGGAAGAAGTGGAAGGTGAACTCAGTGAAGAAGAACGTTGGTTTGGAAATTCATCAGAGACTCCTTCAGAAGCATCATATGGAGAAGTGCAGGAGAACTTTAAGCTGTCTCTTGAGGACAGAATCCAAGAGCAGTCCACATCCCCAGATACTTCCTTGGGAAGTGCAACTCCGAGCAGCAACACGGTGGAGGTGGGAACCATTGAAAATGAAGCTGTAAGAGACACGTTACACAGCAGAGAGCACCATTCTCCTGAGGTGCCATCTCTGTGTGAAGAAGATTCTCCTGGTCCAAATAAGCCACTGAGCAGTAACCTGAGACGGCTCCTGGAGGGTGGCTCCCTCAAGCTGGATACTGCTGTTGCCGTCAATGGTAGAGTTGAGTCTCCTGTAAATCTTGGCTCGAATCTCTCATTCTCTCCTCCTGCCCATCATGCCCAGCAGCTGAGTGTTCTTGCCAGGAAGCTTGCTGAGAAACAGGAGACAAGTGACCAGTACAATGCAAGTAATCACTTTATATGGAATCAAGGTAAGTGGTTGCCAAACTCAACCACCACCTGTGGTTTGTCACCTGATTCAGCTATCCTGAAACTGAAAGCTGCAGCTAATGCCGTTTTGCAGGACAAATCTCTTTCAAGGACTGAAGACACTATAAGATTTGAATCCTTTTCTTCACCTTTTAGTTCTCAGTCTGCCAGCTCCACCTTAGCAGCTTTATCAAAGAAAGTGAGTGAAAGAAGCATGACTCCTGGGCAGGAGCACCCGCCGCCAGCAAGCTCTTTCCTTTCTCTGGCTTCCATGACCTCTTCAGCTGCCCTTCTCAAGGAGGTTGCTGCAAGGGCTGCAGGCACCCTGCTGGCTGAGAAGAAATCACTGGTTGCTGAGGATCCCCTGCAACTTTCAGAGATGAAGCAAGAGAAAGCAACCCCACCACAGTCTTTGGAATTATTGTTACTGCCAGTCCCCAAGGGAAGAGCATCCAAACCCCCTAGTACAGGTATGGATTCAGTTTGAGCCGCTAAGTAGAACATGTTTGCTTTGCTCTAGACTTCATTTACTAAGTGGATCTGGATTTGCTTTGGTTCCATGTGTTATAAGAGCTAGATACTCTTAAGTAAACAGAAGAAAAGCTTTTCTAAGTATCACTTAAAGACCAAACTGTCACAAATGTTTTTCATATTTGAAAGATATGGGTGTACAATTCAATATATTTTTTGTATTCCATACAATTGTGTTTTCCCCTCCTCACCAAGTTCAGAATAGGGCCACAAAAAGTATTTAATATGAAAGATCAAAGAGTCCTTTTCAGGGAGCTCATGGTATCAAGTAAGCATGTACAAAACCAGTGCTTTTGAAATATTGGACAAGGAGAATTCTCCCTCCTGCTGTCTCTGTCACAAATGGACTTTTGTGTAATCACTTACTACCCTGTCCTAATTTACCAGAGTATATTATTATGTTGCCACTTTTCATTAAAATTGTTGCAGCAGCATGAACAAATCTCACATGTTTGGTCTTTTACAGTCCTTTGTCACAATAAAAAAAAAAGGGGGGGGGGGAAGCATTTTTCTCATTTGGCTCAACAAGAACTGCTTTACACTTCTGCCTTCCCTGCACCAGTTCCAGCTGTTGGCATTCAAGGATGCAGGGATATAGGGAATAAGAAGAAACAGTCTTGATAACAAAAGCTTTCAAAAACTGGCAGGCTATGCAGGGAAATTTAAATGATCCATTTTCAAAATAAGGAAAAAGATTTCTTTTTCGTCTTTTATATATATATGTATGTATATAAAAAATTCACATCCTGGATTCATATTTCTGGTAGTGGCATTCTGCTGTAGAGGACAAGGAAGTTTATCAGATATCTTTGCAAGATAAATGAAGCGATTTAGTATATTAGAGCTTTTCTATGATGAGTTTTATCAGAAATGTCAGGCTAACTGTACAGGTGTAGCTGGTCAGTGTCCAGGTGTGAGACCTGACATGGACATTGTGTAGTTGCACCTGCAGTCTTTTCGATCTAGCTTTTATATTTAGGAATAGCATGAGGTCTGATTTGTACCCATTTAGCTCTTGCTAAATAATCATAGTGGAGAAGCTATTGCTTGGATAGCAGTGCTCATTCTTGGAAGGGTGAAGAGAAGGATGTAACAAGGTGCAGCTGATACCAATTTTTACTGTTAACTCCATCTGCTCAGCAAGTGTTTAGTTGGCATGTTTTGCCAAGACAGTTAAAGTGGCAAAATATTTGGCATGGTTCTGGCTAAGGTTTTTATTAGATGAACATAAGGCTTTTCTCAGAGTAACTAAGCTAAACTTTAAAAGAAGGGCCCTTTCATGTTGGAGTAGGGGTAGTTATGCTAGTGTGACTGTATGCACTGATTTAAGTCAATATGCTTTGACAAGGCTAAGTCTATTAGGCAAAATGATCCAGATTCTATGCTCGATTAAAAAACTGCGAGATTTGTCTGTGCAGGAGGAGTGCCCTGTGTGCGCAGTGTGGGTGCCGCCAGCGGCAGCGGTTTGCAGGCTAGCTCTGATGCAGCAAATTCCTCGGCGCTGTCGTGCCTGCCGAAGGCCCCAGCACAGCACAGCGTGCTGCTCCTAGATAACAATGGGGGCAGCTGCCCCGGGGCCTCTGTAACCATGGAGCAGCCACTTGCTTTTTATAATATATGGGACTAGTATCCCAAGAGGAAGGGCGTTTCCTCTTGGTTTATACACACTGGGCCAATGCCAGTTGGCATCCAAGCAAACTTTGTAGTGCACTGTTCATAAGAAAAGTTATTTGAGTGTAAAGCCCCCTTTCGAATATGCTATTAAGTTTTTTTTTCTAAGTAACTAACTAACTGAAAATAAAATAAGAGTTGTTGGTTAGCGTATCTGGCTGTTGGTTGTGGAAAGCCAAACTCTCTGCCATGGAGAAATGCAGCTTGTAGAGAGAGGTCACTGTTATGTGACCTTTGGCTGGACACATTGCTGTAGCAGTCGAGTAGAGTATTCGAGCATGGAAATTTGCTGTGAGAATAAACATTGTATGTTTCTGACTCCTTTTGCACCCCTGGCCTTATGGCACTAGCAGCAAAAAATAACACTTAATTTTATAGCCTTTTACCTGTTACTGTGTCTCTGTTCCCTTTTTGAGTTATGGGGAGAAAGGGTTGTCTTGTTCCCAGAGAAGTAAAATATCTTTTTCCAGTAGTCATAAGTTGAGAGAGATTTCCCACCCCCTCCTAACACTGAATAGTTAAGGAACCGGTGAGCTGGAGTGGCTTCAATGAATCAGCTTTGCTCTCCCACCACCATCTAGCTTTGAAGGAGTGGTGACAAGTTCAATACTATATGAGATTAAGTAGATGTTGAGTAAGGAGTGTCAAAGATAGGGACTATTTAAACAGGAAAACATTAATAACAATAGACAATAACTGCTACTGATTTGTCTACCATGCTGAGCTATTTCAGAGTTATTTCAAGAGAAGAACTATGGCTTATCAGAATATAGTTATCTGTGGTACTGTGTGCCAGATTTGGCCAACCTAATTGTGGCTTGGATAGAGTATCCTAAATTAAAGCTCCAAGTCATACAGAGATGATTAAATTTTCTATCAATATGGTAATATTGCCAACTTAAAAAGACCTCCTGTCTTTTGGAAGACATTTAAAAAGAAGTCTGGAAATTCTGTTTAATCTCTGATGTCATTTTTGAACGTTTGTGGTGGCAGGCTTTTTTTTTTCTTTTCTTTTTTTTTTCTTTTTTTAATTCTTAACTGAGTGCTTACTTGGCAGTAACTTTTTGCCTACAGTGCTTGCTGAATTTTCTTTGGGATGCACTGGCAGATTCTCTTCTCTGGAGTAACACCATCCAATTATTTGACACTGTGTGACATAAAATAGACATCAGTATGAATAAAAGAAAGCTGAAGTGGCGAATGCACTATTTTTTCTTATGCTGAGGTTTATATAGTACAATGAAGAGGTTAAACTTTTGAGGGGGTTGACATAATTCCTGCATGCATTGAGTTGGCATTGTTATCAGTGAAGCCATGTGCAGTCCAGTTCTCCACATATTTTGTAATGTGCTAAATTGCTATTGATTCACTATGTCTTCAGATTTTATTTTAAGTGGGTTGGCAAACAGCTGATGGATAGATTGCATGTTTCTTTTCTGGATCCTTTTTGAGGATAGCCAGCAGCCTGAGAAAAGATACGATAGAAATGTTGAGTAAAGAAATGATGAGTAAAAATGTTACCAATATAAATTTCTATGGTTTATCTCTCTCCTACCTTTAATGAAGAAGTAACTAAAGATACTAAAAAAGCAAAACAAGCAATTCTGGTGTTGATTTTAGCTTTATTCTTCAGAGGTGCAGAGAGGAACAACTTGATAATAGGTTGAGTTTGATAGAAAATTTCACAAGTAGCATTTCTGAACCTGCAAAGAACATGCTTTGAAAATATGTCTTTTCTGGGACCTACAGCTGATTAGGTAATCATTATGTATTACAATACTTCGGTTTTCTACCTTATAGCAACAATAGCATCTTAGGATATGACAGGTCTTTCTGGAGGTTTTTATCGCTTCCTGATCACCAGATGTTAATGTTTGCTATGTCCTTATCAGTAGGAAATAACTAATAATAACAAGAAGAAATATTCAGAGAGAAATTCCGAATAGCAGGATACACATTACTGAGATCTGGGATATTTGAAAGTGGTCTGTCTTTTATATTGAGGAAAGCCACTTTCAGTGCTGTGAAAAGTCTATAATCATGATAAGAAATCACACTGAGGGAATGGATGGATGGTTAGTTTTGTCAAGTAATCTGCAAAGAATTTCTCTTTCCTTCAACTTTGTGATGATTTTGCACTAGATTAACTATCTTTGCTTGACAAAGACCGCAAACTCCTTTTTTTATTTTGAGTCTATTGGGCAGTAAAACAGAGTGCAAACATTTAGGAAGGCAGTAGATTGAAAGCCCTGGCTCTTAGAGGAATAGGAGGAAACCCAATGACCCTAAGACTCCCTGATGGGTGAAGTGGCAGCAGCATCTGCGAGAGTTGTAACTAAACAACTTCAACAGCAGGGGGTTCTGAAATCTTTCACTTTTGAAGCTAAACATATCTGATAGGCAGTAGCAGTGTTGTTTTCAGTTAAGTTGTGAATGGTTTTATGCTATTCTATGCTTATTACTCTCTCATCTCACCCTTCTAACCCTCATACTTGGAAATGGATCATTTCTGAACATGGTTAAGTATATTTTTCGTACCCTCATACAACTGACATTGAATAGGAAATGAGGCTACAAAGTGATGTTATGAGACATTCATCTCAGTTCTGTTAAATTATAAGGAACATCAGGACCAGGTGAGATAGAGTAGCATCTCCTACTGATTAGCCAAAGGATGTTTTAGACATTAACCTTTGTAAATTAATCTGACCTTTCTCAGAGGGAGAATAACTAGATTAAGAGGAAGGGGATATGCAAGGAACAGAATTGAAATTTCTGGTAAATGTTGTTTAACTAATGTGTCTCTTTGCAGATGAAATTCTAGCATTGAAAAATGGTATCTTGAGTATGTTTACAAGGGGAAAGTATTCGACAAGTGGCTGTAAAGGATCCTCTCTTTTTTTCCCCTCTTCTGCTAAGCCTCAGAGGAAGAAGGAGGAAAACCTTTCCAGTGTCCAATCTGTGGTTTGGTTATCAAGAGGAAGAGTTACTGGAAACGGCACATGGTGATTCATACAGGTTTAAAAAGTCATCAATGTCCACTCTGTCCATTTCGCTGTGCACGCAAGGACAATCTCAAATCACACATGAAGGTAAGGAAAGGACTTGCTGACAGACTTGAATCATCAGTCTAAAGATATTAATGTAAGAAAGTTATTTCAGTCATATTTGGAAGAACAGGATTTCCCTATCTGTTCTACTAATGATGTATTTAAATAAATAGATTGTAAGAAGATGAAGAAATAACTTGGTTTCCGTTTTATGTAGTGTGGGCACTGCATAAAATGCCTTGTGTTATACCTTGTGTTATGTCAGCTTGTTGCAGTGGAATGCAGCATGAACGGTCTGTGGTGGATTTAGTTCTGGAACTGCATGAAACAGGGGCTCTTAGCTGAGATGCGTCACTGTGCAAACACAGCATTGCTGCTTTCAGGCACAGGCCAGTATCTCTGCACGGCTTTGCCCTATACTGAATGGGCATCAACTCAGCCATCACTAGCGTGGGGTTCTCTTTTACTTGCAGTAGCCAGACTTGAAGTTTTAACTTCAGGTTTCAGGCTGTAGAAGATGATGATGTGAAGGAAATCTAACACCTGGGATAACATGCCAAAAATGGGAAAATTCAATGGAAAGAGCTCTATCTGTGTTTAGCTGAGATAACTACAATGGTAACAAGGTGCAAAGTGCCCAGTTTTACATACTGTAGAGCATACTTGGTGAATTAAAAGTGGTACATAGCCTGTTAATCCACAAGTGAAGAAGCTGAAGTGTTGAAAGTTTCCTTTGTTAATGCAAATATAGTAGCAATGAACTGCTTTATTTTTTTGTTGAAAGTTTCCTTTGTTAATGCAAATGCAAATATAGTAGCAATGAAATGCTTTATTTTTTCATTTTGTCTGCTTCAGACAATGCCTATAATAGAGTACAGGACTGGTGTGGAGGGGGGCAGGAGTATCTGCTCAGCTTTTAGATATGCAATTACAACATCTGAGATCACTAGACAGAAGTCTAACCTTGCTTACATGCGAGTAACTGTTTATTTAAGTATAAATCCAGATGATTCCACTGATCACAAAAGCAGATCTTGCTGCACCTCAGGTCCCACTGGATCTGAAATCATCCCCCTCAGATCTGAAGGCCAGTCCCATAAGTAGTGTGGGTCAGTGCACTAGCCCTATGTGTTCTTGATGTATCATCAGGTACAATTAGGTTTGGTATTTGCAGTTCGTTCTTTTTGCATTTGGTGTTTTGCTCTGACTGAAGGAGTCAAATGGTTTTCCTGAGCAGAACTGCTGGCCTGAAAGGATGGGAACAAAATGTAATGAGAAAGGCTTTTGTTCTCAGTTGGTGACAATCCGTGCAGGAGCATGCATCACTTACAAACTTGCTCTTCCTTGGCAGAGGCCTGTTGCTGGCCCTTGCTTTCTAAAGGATATCCCTATTATTCCCAACAGGAATTCTCGATCACTGCATTTTGTGCCTTTGGGGGATTATTGTAGTTACAGGCTGAGAGCCTATCCCTTCCTTTTGGCAAGATGATTTCCATAGGAGGTCAGAGGTAGGTTGTTGGGGAAAATTAGTATAGAGCCTTTGTCTGGAAGAGCCTCTGTCGGATTGATGGCTGTCTGAAACCCTTGTGCTCTTTTCTGCCCACCTACCATCAGCTCCTTCATTAACTAACTGTGCATCATCCTACAGAAAGACCCGCTGTACAAACATGTAACACAGTGTTCTTTAGTTATTTCCAGGTAGTGTTTTGATGTGTTTTCTCATTTGATTAGGCATGTCATAAAGGCAATTTGTATCAAGTCAAAATCAAGGTGAAGTGGAAATGCATACGTAATAGCAGGTGATTGAGGTAGGGGATATGTTAGTCAGATATGACTTGAGTTTCCTTTTGAGGATGATATAAATTAATACCAGGTTTGAAAAAATAACATTTATTTTCTAATTGTATAAAAAAAGTGTTGCTTTTATGTCTGTACGTTTAAAAAAAAGTATGAACTTACAAAACTGAGCATATATAAGCTAACAGTGATCAAGATGAATAAATACCCATCAGCAATAGTATAGTAAAGCTGAGATTTTCTGGGATCCAGCGTCCTGGTTGTGCCATTTGGAGGTTTCAGATATCTTTGTTGTCCCAGAATCATTTGAGATCCCCTTGGTGACCAACAACTCACAAAGGCAGAGCTGCCTCTGGCCTTCCACCCTTTTCTCTTTCTCATTCCCCATAAGTCAATAGTGGCTGCAGATGAAGACATATTTGCTTTTCAGAAACAAAATACTAGTCAAAATTATTGTCTTAGATTGGTATTGTTCATCATTATAAGCCAATTTTTACTCAAGGAATATTGGTCATTGTAAGCCAATATTTTTTTTCCCATATACTCCTCTTTAGTTTTCAGGCTTTATATTCCATTGATCAAGATAACAGACAAAACTTACTGGGGTGTTTTGGTGGACAGCTGAAGTCTCCACAATCTAGAAGTGTTATCTTTATTTCCTCCCTGGCAGTATAGCCCTAAGATGGAATACTCCCTCTTTTTTCTAGATTATTGTAGGCATTCTCTGATGAAAGTTGGAGGTCAGAGGTATGATTTCCATTGGTGATTTGTGTGTGTGCATGTGGGATTTTCTTATTGTGTATATTTTTAGGCTAATAAATAGTAACTGTAGTATATAATTAAGGTGTAGTTTTATGTTAGTGATTGCATGCCAAATCTTTCGGACTAGAACACGACAGTGCCAACATTCCTTGTTGTCTGCTAGAGAAGATCTTACTAGAGGGAAGGCTGGAATCAGTCCATCCTTGTCCATATTCAGATCTACATGTACTGCCCCCATATTGATGAGGTTTTCCTCCAGTAAGGGCACTTTGCCAGGACCAACTCTGAACTGCAGGCAAGGAAGTGAAAGGCAAGAAGGAAAGTGGAAGGAAAAAACCCAAGCAGATGCAAATGAACAAGGCAGATCGAGAATGCTGCCTTTTAAAGCACACTTTTACCTATATTGTTGTGTGGCATTTAGATTCCCCAGTGATAGGCACCTTAGAAAAATCCTAAAATAGGCATGGTACAGAATTTTATTAATCTATTCTGGAGACAAATTATAACACTTACATAACTGCAGGTTTTGGCCGTTCTCTGCTCGGATCTGTTTAGCATCTTGGCACTTAATTCTGGTATCATAGCATGATTTCCAAGGGCTCTGAGAATGTTGTAAATGAACCTGAACAAATGGATGGGTCTTGTCGAGGCAGGCAGCAAGAATTGTTCACAAGACCTTCACTCTGCTTATCTAAATACATACTCAGTTGGGATATGTTGTTTGCTCCTTGAGGGAAGAAATATTTTTTGCTTGTTCTGAAGCATCAAAAAGCAACAGAAAGGAGTAGTGTAATTTTTCAATTTCAAACTATGCTGTTGTTCCTGATAAGCAGTTGGGGATTAAATTTACATCGGAGCAACACCACAAGCATCAGTCAGATTTTGTCCAGTTGGTATCTTTGGAGCATGCCTGAGTAATTGGTGGAAGAATAGTCTGTGAGATCATAGAAATATGTTCCAAGAAAACAATGGGATATTAGTCTGAGCACTTGGAAAGAGAATGGGAAGAGAAGCATATGGCCAAAAATAATATCTATAAATGTTCCTTGTTCTGCTATATAGATATAACGCAGAAATGCATGAACCAGCTCTTCTAGCAGTGGAAGAGAAGCTTGGCATAATCAACACTTACTGAAGCAGAATGGTATGACAGAAAATGAAGAAATGCAAGATGAAGTTTAACAGAGAAAGTAGATGTAAGGGCACACAATTAACATGATGCTCAACCACAGGAACTTTATGTTTCTATTTCTTGAGGAGAGGGACCAGGTAATGAGATCTTAGGTTAATACTCCTGTGTAGCATTAAGAGAGTTACAATCACCCTCCTGATTAGAGAGAAGCTATAAATTACATAATTGTGGGAATAAAAATAAAAATGCTCTGAAAAATGTAGCCAGGTGATTTACTTCTCTCTTTTTCTTCCCCCTTCCTTGTAGTCTGTCAGAAAAATGAAAGAGTATTCACAATACCTTTTGATGAATCATAGAGAGGTTATTTTTGAAACATCTGTACCATATTGTGGGAAGGAGGGTGGCTGCGTTTCATGGGAATTTTCTTGTTTAGTTTTGTTTAAACAAAGCTTGAACAATAATGAGAGGCTCTTGTGACTGTTGCTTCACCTCAGTTGAGGGGAGGTAATACAAACTTATACAACTTTTCAACAAGTTAATATATGTGCCCCAAGTTTCAGACACATACAAGTGACTTAAAATGCCTACTTTTTAAATGAATCACTTCTTACATAGGAGACAGGGCTAAGACAGGAAACGCATTGATGCCCTAAAGCCTCTAAAAAACGTTTTTGAATGGCATATCCAGCCATGCAGAGAAGCTTCACTTTTTAGCAAAGCAAGAAAACAGTTTCAAAAAGAAAATACTGTATAAATAATGTATGCATACTGAGGGGAAGGATTATATCAATACTAGCACTATAGCACTAAACTTTTGAAAATGCAGTATTTTTAAGATGAGGGAGCTTGTCAGAAAAGAGCACTAAATGAAAAGGCAGAGAACATACAATAGGTGGGAGATGAAGACCTCTCAACTACTCAGGGAAGATATCTGAGTATCATTGTAGGCAAATCATTGAAGATGTTTTCTCAGCATGTGCAGCAGTGAGTAAAGAGTACATTAGAATATTTGAATGTAGAACAGAACAGAAATAACACTGAAAGAACTACAATATTATTATACAAATACATGACATGCTCTCACTTAAGATGTGATACTTGGTTCTAGTCATTATGCATCAAAAGAATATATCAAAAACAAGAAGTTTTAAAAAGATGATAATTAAATGATTAGTGGGATGACAAGAACTCTCTTTGAAGAAAGAAACTGAAAACAATGGGACTACTACGGCTAGAAACGTGTGATCAAAATAATGTGTGGTAGACATAATAATGAAATTATGACAATATAGAGGCATCAAGTGAAACTGAAAGAAGCCCCCCCGCCTTTCTTTTTCTAACCAATAGATAATTTGTCTCCCAATTCTCAAACTAGTGCTGAAGCTTATAAGCAGTGTGTAGATCCGTAGAAACTTGTGTACTTCATATCAAAAATGTGCAGGAAAAAAAACAAAACACAGAAACCACAAAGCATCTTTTGAGGCTAGGAAGACTGTAGGATAAAATAAAGAGGATGCAAGTGCTTTACAGTCAGGGGGAATATTCACAGCTACATGAAATAGACTCAGGAACTAAAAGTCCTTTATGCTTTTTGGTGCTAGTCAACTGTAATTCTTCGGGATTTTGGAACAAACTTTCTCTATGAACAGCTTATGCACTCCAGTTCATTGCAGCATAATTCAGAGTGATCCAGATAAAACAACAGCAAGGCTGTAACTGGGACTTTGGAGAAATCCTGTCAGTTGCCCCCTTGTCTCTTCCTGCCGCAGGAGAATAGAGTTGGCTGTCCTTACAAGAGGTTCTCATTGTACCAGTACTGGGCCCGGTGCTCTTCAACTTGTTCATCAATGACTTGGATGAGGGCATAGAGTGCACCTTCAGCAAGTCTGCAGATGACACTAAACTGGGAGGAGTGGCCGACACTCCCGAGGGCTGTGCTGCCATTCAGAGAGACGTAGACAGGATGGAGAGTTGGGCAGAGAGGAATCTTATGAGGTTCAACGAGGAAAAGTGCAGGGTCCTCCGCCTGGGGAGGAATAAACCCAGGCACCAGTACAGACTAGAGATTGACCTGTTGGAAAGCAGCTCCGCAGAGGGATTTGGGAGTCCTGGTTGACAACAGGTTAACCATGAGTCAGCAATGTGCCCTTGTGGCCAAGAAGGCCAATGGGATCCTGGCTGCATCAGGAGGAGCATTGCCAGCAGGTGGAGGGAGGGGATCCTCCCCCTCTACTCAGCTCTGGTGAGGCCGCACCTGGAGTATTTGGTGCAGTTCTTGGCTCCCCAGTACAAGAAGGACATTGAGCAGAATAGAGAGTGTCCAGTGGAGAGCCATGAAGATGATTAAGGGGCTGGAGCATTTGTCATACAAGGAAAGACTGAGTGAGCTGGGCCTGTTTAGTCTGGAGAAAAGACTACCAAAGATTAGCATGTTCAAGTAACTGAGGGATGTTTGTAAGGAGGATGGGGCCAGGCTTTTCTCCAAGGTGGCCGGTGACAGGATGAGGGGTAACGGGTGTAAGTTGAAACACAGGAAGTTCCACCTCCATATGAAGAAGAACTTGTTGACTGTGAGGGTGACAGAGCCCTGGAACGGGCTGCCCAGAGAGGTTGTGTAGTCTCCTTCTCTGGAGATCTTCCAAACCTGCCTGGATGCCACCATGTGCTCTGGGTGTCCCTGCTGGAGCAGGAGGGTTGGACTAGATGATCTCTAGAGGTCCCTTCCAACCCTAAGCATTCTGTGATTCTGTGATATTGCTTCCTTCCTTGCAGTAACCCTGCCACCAGTAACAGAGGTCTCATTGGCTCTAGGACATCTGTTGGTGTGAGTGAAAGCTGTTCCTTGCCTCACAGAGGAAGCAGGCAGCTTTTTGAGCTGTAATGTTGTGTGGCTTAGATCTCCCCTGTGGCCCTCTGCAGAGCTCAGCGAGGCTTCTTGCTTCTTTTTCTACCTTGACTATTACCAGAGAACTGTACACTGAAGACTCTTGGCTCTTTTAGATGTTGAATAAGAAAATAGAAGAGAAGGTGGGCTCTCACACAGACTTGGCCACTTGACTGAAGCAGCGACAGCCTCTGCAAGCTCATTGGTGATTGTGGTCTCTAGAAGAGGTGCTTAAATATGTACAGGGAAATGATGAGTGGAGATCCTGGAGAGAAACCCTGGCACATAGAGCCTTAGTGGGTGTAAGATGTAAAGTTGCCATGGTGAAGGGTGCTTGCTACCATTAGTGCATATCAGTGGTTTTTGTGAAGAAAATTGCTTCCATACTGCCATGCTTACAGACCATCCTGTTTCCAGTAGTGTGGATAGATAATCTTGTTAGCAGTTTTATTGTAATGTGTTAATATTTAGAATTTATGGTGCTGCTGTTTATCTACAAGGTTGCTGCTTTAAAACTGTCTGAGGTTAACATTAACTTCTGTTTTATTATTTTTGTTGACAGTTGCAATTTTAAGGTTCGGAATTACTTGTCTGTACATGTCATGTTTATACATACAGAGAATGCCATTTTGCAAAGATGCTGGCCAACAGGAATTCTCTCTTGCTGTTTGTTTGGTACAATCTTTGGGGTCCTTGAGCATCCATTGAAAGAGAAGTTATATAGCACTACTGAAATCTGTTTTCACTGAATGTAAAGAGGCCTAGAGGAAGAACTCACTCCTGGCAGGCCTGAGTTCAGATCCTGTGTATGTTGCAAAGTAGATCTGGAAATGCTGGCTATGAGCTTGTGGCCGAATTAATCTTACTGTATACAGAATGAATGAGGCTAAATGTGAAACTTCCTCCAACCTGGAATTTGCCAAGGTCATGATTGGGACATGCTACGACTACCCCAGGGTCAGCAGGATATGCACCAGGATTCTCAGGGTCTAGACCTCAGTTCTGCAGGAAGCCAACAAGTACCGAGAGCCTTAGCGAGAGCCAGGCCTTCCTGGCGCCTTGCTGTAGTGCTGAGCTTTGATTAGAGCTGGGGCTCTCGGGTGTTTTTAGACTTCCAGGCTGTGGCAGTGAGCTTTGAAAACCTGGCACAGCTGGCTGCTTTTGAGCCAAGCCCTGGGAGGGGAGGTAGAGAGGCACTCGGCAAAGGGGAGGAATCGTGCCCGATTTGTTCATTAAAACTCTCGTGTGTTTCAGGTCAAATATTTTGGGCTCCACAAATCGCCATTTCCCAACAGAAATCTGTCTCACTGAAATGTTTCCAACCAACTCAAGTTACAAGTGAAAATGAATGTATGGAGCTCAGTTGGTTCCTGTTTGCCCTAATCACCTATTCATCAATTAGTAAGGAACGAATGTATGTATTTGGCAGTCATTCTGCAGGAAATAGTCCCAAGGGCTGCTGTCAGGGTTTAAAATGTGTTGAGGAGACTGTGGAGAAGAAAACTCTTCAGTATACCTGCCAGTACTGTGTTAACCAAGATATTGTGTAATTAATATTTTAATTATGTATATAACTTATATTAGTATCTGTGTCTGTTCAGATAGCTAGAATGTAAACCATTACAAATGGATGGATGGACAGACTTCTCTTTAAAAGGTAATCAGGATGAGGCCTGTGGTAACTAGGGGGTGTTATGTTGGAATGCATGTTCTGTATGAGGAAGAGCTTGCAGTCAAAATGTGAGAACAGTAAAATGAACTTCGGTCATTAATTCACTGATAAAGTAGAATGTAATAAAAATCTCTCTCATTGGTGTTTTATTGTAACAGAACCGGTAATTTTCTGGTAGACTTAATTTGCAACAAAATGTTTTAATAGTAATTATATTTTGTTTGCAACAAAACGTTTCAATAGCTCCTTGGTATTGCCAGCTGCTGTGTTTTGCCCTAATGATAGATAAATTGATATTACTGCTCAAGTTGGAGTTTTGGTGGGTTGCTCTAAACATTGGTATTTATGAGGTTGCGCAGACAGATTTAAGCTTAGCAGAGCATATAATAGATTTAGATATAATAGATAAGGTCTTTTTTGCCCTTTTTTTGCTTTTGCTTTCTCGCTTCCCCTCTTTTGCTTCCCCTCTCTCCTTTTTTTTTTCTTTTTTTTTTTTTTTTTTTTTTTTTTTTTTTTTTTTCTTGCCTTTGCCCCTCCCAGTCAAGAAAGTGTCTTAACTACAGCCTGGAAATCTTTTTTAGGCAGTGACAGGTCATCAAGACCAGTTTATAAGGACTCTTTCACCAAAGATCCCTTCTTCATTTCCATGCTGCAGAAAAAAAAAGATGTAGCTGGTTATTTTTTCTTTTTAGTCAAGTCTGATGTTTATGTTCTTTGATTTCTGCGTGAAAGAATCTTGCTGTTCTTAGTACCTGACTTCTTTCCAAGTGCTCAGAATGAAGAGTTCATTCGTTAGTTGACTTTCCTTTTTAAAAATGATATATAAAGCATAGAACTGAGGTTTTTGTAATGCTTGTGAACTGTTTTGTTTAATACGTGCTTTTATCTTTCACCTTCTGAACCAGGTCCATCAGCATCAGGACAGGGGTGAGACCTTTCAATGCCAGCTGTGCCCTTTTACCTCCTCACGCCACTTCAGCCTGAAACTCCATATGCGCTGCCATCAGCATTTCCTCAGGACAGAATCCAAAGTGAAGGAGGAAATACCAGAAACAGAGGTGAAGGGGTCACCACAGCTAACTAGTGACTCCTGCCCTGGCCCACAGAGGGAAGGAGGTGGACCTGACCTCCCGGGATCATTGGCTGTGTCTAAAACGCCTGAGGTGGCCGGGCAGCCTAGTGGAGGCATTCCACCTTTGCTAGTGAAAGAAGAGCCCAAAGACAACACCGGCCTCGCAGCCTCACCTTTTGCTCTTAGTACTGTTGATAGAGCCCCCAACAACACCAAGCTGAAGGACTCCCCTGACTTTGTGGCCAACACAGCATCGGCACTATTCAGTCAAGACATCTCTGTCAAGATGGCATCAGATTTTCTCATGAAGCTGTCAGGTAATGTCAGCTCAGCATCAGTGGCAGCATCAGCTACACCTTTACATGTTAAGAACCCCTGGGTCTGCAGTATCATGTAATTGCAAGGAAAGAAATGTTGCAACTTCTTTACTATCTCTTACTGCTTCTTTTGATGAGGGAGATGCATGGTTGAGGGAAGAGGGCAAGTGGGGAGAGAAGACAAGGATATTGCTTATTTTAAAAACTGCAGTTGAGAGTAAGAACTTGTTTTCCAGGTTTTGATGTTCATTGGCAATTAGCTTGGCAAGTCCTGTTTGGTGTGTTTTTGAATACCTGTTCCAGTTTAAAATCACCAAAGGTTCAAAGGTTGCAAATTCCCAGCATCTTGGAAAATTCAGACCTTAACTTCTCTGCCTTTGCCCGTCTGTTTGCTAGGACCAGTAAAGCATTGCTGGCTTTCTTTTCACAGGAGCATGCGAGGCCAATATTCAACGCTTGTCAAGTATGAAACTGTGTTACTGGATTTCTTGGTTATTATCATTCAAAAAATTGGTAATGACAGAGGTTCTAGAGCAACTTCTGAAGATGTTTTTCTCCATGAAGATGTTTTTCTTCATCTCTGTCTAATGCAACCATGGGTTTATTCTTTTTCTTTTTTTCTTAGTCAAATTATTGCTCTGAGAATCATATGAATATGTGAAAATCTGAAGGCATGAGGAGGGAGAATCTATCATATGTTACGTGTTTTCTTACTGATTTGACCATTTCAGCCCTGGGGATGTCCTGGGGAGATGTTCTGTACTGAATGTTTTCACAATTGAAAGAGGAAGAAGGCGGGAAAAGTTTCACTAAAGAAACTTTTGTTTTGAAAGGAGTTGGCAGTCCTTATGGTAGTTTTTAGGCTTTGGAGATAAAAGATATCCTTTTAAATAAAAAAAGACATTTTCCCTTAAGTGGAATGTAGGTTGCATTCCAACCAAGAAAAAGAATAAAGTAGAATAAAATACTTCCAAGTACTTTACAAACGTTAACGTTTGTAACGTTTGTAAAGTGCTTGGAAGTAAAATTGCTTGGGACTAAGGGTTTCTTGTGGGGTTTAGAATAATCCACAGAGCCTCTCTTTTTTCAAACAATTGTTGACATAATTTATTATTATGACCAAAAAATGCAGCACAAGAGAGTCTGTTTTGGTTCACATGACTTTTTTTTAGTTGAGTTTCACATAGGAAATCTATATGAAACCTGTGTTGATGTTGTCTGACCAATGTCCTACATGTGTTGTCATTCTGACATCTATTTTAAATTAGTATTGCTTAAGTACCTGTTGTGCACTAAGAGGCTCTACGCATCTGCTGTGCTGAATGGTACATGGTGGTGCTCATGACGGTCGTGTATAGCACAAAGGAGAGCAGAGCGTGAGAGGGGAAAGAAAGCTGAAAAAACACCCAACATTTTAATCTGTTGTTTTTCTTGTAGCAGTTCATGGGGAGCTGTTTACAGTTTGGCCACTGGTCATGTTTTCAATGTCTGATCTATTGGCATCAGAAAAAGAATACAAATGCACTTTATTCATGCAAAAGGTCTATGCAGTTATTTTATGGTGACTTACTAAAGGTCTTGAAACCTGACTTGTGTGCACTGTTACCTAGCAACATGTTATAAAGTTACTGGGGGAGTGAGATGTATCTGTAATTTTGTATGTGTGCATATTTGGATGGAAATGTACTGCCAGTCACCAAGTTTACTACACAAGGAAAGCAGTGTTAAAAGGAAAGGAATTTCTTTTCTCCTGAGATTTATGTTGTGTTATATATGTTTAGCTCATGCTTTTCTCCATACGACACGCATACGTTTATAGTAGAAGTAAGAGTAATTCTCTTTTAGCAAGTCAGGTAAGTAGTAACGGTGTTTTTTTCTGATTCCTTACTGTGCTGAACCAAGTTCTCTTGAGTGATTTATTATGACGCTCTCTTGTTAGGCCCATCAGAACTTCCATTATTGGCCTTACCTTTTCAGTGAGATAAATCTTTTGAAGTCTCAAATTGTATATGCCAATTCTAACAGCCAAAACAGATTCGTTGAGACCAAATTATGTCAAAACAATCTAATTTTCTGTTGTGACAGGCCTTGTGGCTAAGAAAGAAGCAGCAGACAGATATGTAGACTTTCAGAATTTGGCATTTATTCTTATTGAATATTGATGGTTAAAATGAACAGTTATTTTTGCTTGCCAGTGTTCATTGTTCCTCCTCTTTTTGGCTAGTTTCAGCTCAAATGTCTCTTGTTTCATAGGAAACCTCGGGGCCCATTGGTTTTCATTTCTGGGCAGTCTCAGCCTCTTCTTTTTCCAAATTGTGACTCAGAGGCTTTTCTTCCCTTATTCCTAGGAGTTAACAATTGCCAGTACCATCTCAGAGCAGGAGTTGTAACTGGAGCATTTAAGGAGGAAGACAGTTCAAAATTTGTGTTTATTGATGATTACCAATTTAAAATCAATTGATTTTTATTGTGTAATGAAGTACATGTCTAAATGAAGTGGAGAACAGATGTTTGGAAAGTAGTATTTTGAAGGAAGTTCACAGTCAGAAGGGTGTATTGTTTGAGGTTTCTAAGGGATCTGTACTTGGCCTATCATTGCTTGCAATTTTCATATATCATGTAGTTACTGGAATAATAACATCAAACTCAGCAGAGCACATGAATACCTCAAGACAATATCAAGATTCAAAATATTGATTATTTGGAGAAATGGTCTGGAGAAAGAAAGTTCAGCTTTTCAACAGACATCTGCACAAAACAAAATTGGGAAGAACTACCCAGGTAATGGTTTTGTAGAAAAGGAACAGGAATTAACAGTGTCATACCACTGCTAAAATGACAGTCATTATACTTTAGAAGAAGAAGTCTAAGGAAAGTCATTAACAAGTCTTCCAGTGCATTAGAAAAGTTTGTTGGGGCAAATTTGTTGGTGATTCATAGTGATCAGGACAAACAATAAGAACTTCATATTGTTGAAAGGTTTAAGTTGGCTTTAGAAGGATCTTCCAAAAGTTGAGGTGGTTAAACATCTAGAGTTTGAGAAATTGTGGCATCATCGCTACTGGAGGTTTTTGAAACAGATTAGATATTTATCTATCAGATATAGTTGAATCCATCTTAGTCAGGAAGGTGGTTTGGATTTGTGTATCTCAATTGGTGGCCTCACAAAAATTTGCCTGAAGTTTCATCTGGACAACAACGAAAAGCAACCTGTATAGAAGCAAAGAGCGAAAGTAAAAGCAAAAAAAACAAAACAAAACAAAAACAACAACAACAAACAAACAAACAAAAAAGAAACCCGAATGTTCATTTAGGCCTGGATTTGACTTTGTCATAAATGGATTGTAGCAACACTGCTCAATATGGCCTCTGAACTTTGTTTCAGGAAGGTTTAGGGATCTCTGAATTTAAAGAGGTTGAGAAATATTATTGTAAATGACCTTCTGAGATCCTTTCAACCTTATTTTTTTATGATTCTGTGCCATTGCTTTCCAAAATGATTGTTTTCTTGCGTGCTTTCTGAAATAAGGCATAGGGCTAATCACCAAATGTAAATCAAAAACTGGGAACAAACCCTGAAATCCTTTCCAGACTCCATTCTCTCAGTCCTTAATAGTTTAAGGTAGGGGATGCTATTAAAATCACATGCAATTTGAATGGGGTTGTATAGAGAGTTGTTTAAATTTGTAAAGGGTTATGGTTTATAAAGACTATTAATGGTGACTCTGAACATGTCAGAGTCTTAAGCTAGAAGTACATTTCATCATGGACATATTTTTACCTTCAAACCTTCCCCCCCTTATTTCAGTGAGGCTACTCATATGCTTGAAGTTGTCCAAATACTTTGCTGGATTGGTGCTTTGCCAGATTGTTTTCTTCTCCTAATATGTTAATTTGACATTGAAACTGCATTAATATCTTAATTTGCAGAGTATTTGCTTTTTCTGTTTTAAAGGTATCAGTGCTAAATGTAGTAGAGCACATCTTACTAAAATTTTTGAGGCCCTTCCAGTCCCTCCTAAGGCCTGATTTCTTCTGTAGTAAAAAATGTCTTTCACAGTGACCCAAATTACCATGGCCAGTGTAGTATAGTTAAACTTACTATGTTATGTGCAGCATTTGCTTTTTGTAACATTCTATCTACAAATGAATCCCATTGAAATGAATGTAATTCCTGCACTATTGATCTCTGAGGAATTCTGTGAGCAAACAGTAATTGTAAAGCATCCTTCATTCCCAGCCTCTCTCCCTCACCTCTCAGAGTTTGCCCAGTGCATTGCTCTGGGAAGCACAGCTCTTCATTTTGGGAAGTTGTGCGTTATCAGCTGTGCCCTGCCTCTGCAGCTCTTGTTATGTTCCCCAAGTTATTTGCCTGGAAAAGCTTTAATATAGAAATGGGAGAAGGGAGGCAGCAGGGCAGATGGGTGTTTGGGGCTGCCTGGGCTAGATAAAGGAAAAGCTCTGGCTTCACCAGGTTTAATCACGTCTGATGCTACCATCATGCTGGGAGACAAGCTTTTGTATTACGGAAAGCAATGCTACCATGGGATTTTGATGACTGTCCGGAGAACTTGGACCTTGTATTCATGTTTTCCTATCTGATTTCATTTGTGGAATAACACAATAGTAAATCATGAGACAGCTACATAGGAAATATTAGTAGAGAAGCTAAGTAATCAGTTTATCTGTTCTCTTTGGCTCTAGCAAATTACCACACTCCTTAAGGGTGAAGCAAGAGCTTTGAATGTCACAGTGCTTACCATTGACAGTGCTAAAGTGGTTGGCTTGAAGATTCTTTAGACTGCTTTTTTTTTTAAATGTCCAATTAAATTGTCATAATTTTGTGTATATTTGTGTAGCAAGTTCCAAAGAAAAGATTGCCTATATTTAGGATTTGTAGTTTGTGCCAGAGTGTAAAATTTCAATTAGAATATGTAGCACATAGGCCTGGCAATTATTCAGCCATAACCTTAAAAGTACTCTGAATTCCATAATGCTAC